CAGGAATGGTCCTTCCTCACAACTGGCCTGTGAGACATGGTGTGTGGCTCCTCCAGGCATTGGCAATGCATAGGGGGTGCACACAGGTGCATGTGAACCCCCTGAGCATGGTGGTGCACCCCCTGAGAAAGGGTGCCTGAGGGTGGTTGCTGCTCGCCATCCTCCCCCTGCCCCCATTAAGGCAGGTGAGGGTCGTGGTGGGGCAGTGACTATGGACACTAAGACATCCATAGGAGCTGTGGGGCACATGAACCAGGCCCTGCCACTTCCCCAGGTGCAGGGCAGGGGTTGGGCTGAACAGGAACAGCCCTGAAGAGCGCTTTTGGGCCTGCAGAATCTGGTACCTGCTCTCTGGGCAGCTGCAGCATCCACTGCTCAGGCTCTGCTCCTTCTGTCCCCACTGTCCCATGGGGAGGCTACCCAGCACACTGCTGCTCCCACAAGGATTAGCACTGCTCTGCTTTCCAGCCTGGACTCCTCCCGGCCAGTTTTACCCTGCCCCTTCCTCTGCCAACCTTGCCCTTTCCCACTCCTCCTCCCCAGCCCTGGGCTCCTGTGTTCCCATGGTGTACATGGGCCACAATGTTGGCCCCTGTCCAGCCTGGCAGCCCTTGGTGGCACCTGTTCCCTGAGGCTGTGGCCCTGACCCAGGGCCTGGATCTGTGTTTCAGGGTCTCACACTCTGCAGTATGGCTGTGAGCTGGGCCAAGATGGCAACACTAGAGGCTATGTGCCGTTCAGCTATGATATGCAGTCTCAGGAAGACTTCATCAGCTATGACCTGAAAACACACAACTGGGTAGCAATCCCAACGCAGGTTCTAGCCACTGGGTCTAATTCTGCCTTATCTTTACTAGATCAAAAAGCCTCTTAGCACTTGGTATTCTTCCCCATAAAAATGTTTATACTCTTTGGGTGTGTCTACAAATGCATTAAGCTGCTTCTTCTAATGCACATTAAATTTAGTGTCTCCAATATAAGGTATTAAACAAATGCACATTAGGCCACCTCAATGCAGAGTAACAAATGTGCATGGATTTTAAGTGAAGTTTAATGCACAGTAGCCTATTTTATTGCGCACTAGCATAGTAGCTATGGGTTTTTACGTGACACGAATGCACAGTAAAATAGGCTGCTGTGCATTAAAGCACACACGTAGATCCACCCTATGATCTTGTTACTGCTGGATATTTTGTTTGATATGCTCTCTCAGTCTCTTGATGTGAGTTATATTCTCCAGTCCTGAAGTATTTCCCTAGTTAATTGTGTGGCCGTGCTGTGTGCATTCCTTTGGCTTCACTGGGAGGCTGCTTTTCTCTCTCCACTTTGCTGACCAAGTTGCTATTCATATCCAGCCAGGTCACATGGCCGCCAGGCAGGGAGAATCAGGGCATGCTTCAGTGAATGCGCTGCAGGTGCCTCTACCATCCTGAGTCTACCTAATGTAACCCAGTTTTTGGGATGCCTGAGTCACTGCAATCTATGATAAATGGTTTCCTTCCCACCACCAGCAACCCAGAGCTGAAGTACATTCTGGTGAAGCAGTGCGTGAGCTTGTCCTCCAGTGGCACTGATGGGGACAGCATGTGCAAGTGCATCTGAGCTGCCTCCTTCTATCAGGTGGCTGAGCTGAACATGAGCGGGCAGCTGGGTTTTGGGAGGAGGGGCTAGACATTTGGCTGAGGTTGGGCTAACTGGGCTCCCCTGTCACAGGACACTGTTGAGTATGTGAATATCCATATGTGGATGCCCTGCCGCCTGTGTCCCACTTGCTGCGCTGCTGTTCTCTTTTGGACTTCAGGTGTCTGTTCTCCTGGTGCGGCTGGGTCAGATCCTCCTGCAGATGGCTGTGGAAAAGGCAGGCGGAGGTGGGACTGAGCCAAAGGCAGAGTGGAAGAGGATGCAGCTTGGGCTGAGGGCAGCCCTCCTCTCCCAGGCAGGGGGCATAGCCCTGCCAGGTAGGCCCCATGACACTGTTGCAGCAGGACCCATGTCCGGCTCGATTCCCCTGCAGCTGGCAAGTGCCGTGGGCACTGCAGGAGCTGGGCCCTGGCAGATCTGGGGCCATAGCCCTGCTATAGGGGAGGGAGTATGTCAGGTGTTCCAGTCTGTGGGGGTCCGGCAGGCCCTGCGCCAGGCAGCTCCCACTGTTCCCCTGTTCTGTGCACATGGGGCTGTACAGACCACGTGGCAGAGACCCCTCCCTATGGCTGTAGTGGGAGGCACTTCCATGGTGCTGAGGCTTGGTGAGTGGCTCCTCCCTGTAGGGGTCTAACTGCACCACCCAGCAGTGTAATTGCTGCTTACACCTTCTCCCCAGTTTGAGCTTCTCCCTTGTTTGATCTGCTCCCGGATCTTCTGCCCCAGCCTCTCATTCACTTGCCTGAAATGGAAGCATGGAGAAGAAGTGTGAACTGTCTCCCCTAGGCTGAGAGCTGCAGGGAGCCCAGCTGAGCCCAGCTCCTGCTGTTACTGGTGCTAGGTATCATGGGTGCCAGGCTTTACCAGCCCCTCCCTGGGGGCTGGAGTGGGGAGACAGGGTTTTCTTTAGCCACCTGTAGGGCATCTCGTGTGGGGTGGCCACCCTGTTCTCCCCGAGCCTGCAGCTGGAGATCTTAGAGGATGTTGAGGCGGTGCCCGGCTGCCTACTCCACATCCGGGCACGAGTGGTGGGGGTAGTGGTTAACTTTGTTAACATTTATGCCCCCATCCAGGACCCGGACGCAGCGGAGTTTTTCCACAAGGCGGCCGACTACATGGGCACCCTGAGCCCTCGTGAGAGCCTGGTGTTTGGTGGGGACTTCAACGTCACCCTTGAGGACCAGGATGGCTCGCGTAGGCAATGGTGCCGGGCTGCCATGGACGCCCTCAGGGGGCTCCTAGAGGAGCGCTCCCTGGTGGACATCTGGCCTGTCTGTCAGCCCGATGGCCCCCCAGCCCCCACGTACGTGTGGGTTGGGGGGAGCGGGTGAGCCACTCCTGGTTGTAGCAGATTTGCATCTCGCCCTGTGTGGATGCCCAAGCATGGATCCTCCAGAGTGAGGCCAGCCCCCTTCAGCGATCACCATCTGGTGTGACCCCGGGTTGCGGTCAGCCTACTGGCACTTTAACAACAGCCTACTGGAGGACCCCAGCTTCAGAGCAGCCTTCCGGGAGTTGTTGGCCTGGCACGGGCAGCGGCAGTCTTTCCCCTCGGCTCGGAGATGGTGGGACGGGGGAAGGTGCGCATCCGGCTCTTCTGCCATAGCTACACCTGGGGGCACACCCAGGAGCGGGAGGTGGCCAGAGAGCAGCTGGAGTAGGAAGTGTTGGAGCTGGAGAGGCGCCTGGTCACCGACCCGCAGAATCCGTCCCTCTGTGGAGAGTGCAGGGAGAGGCAGGAAGAGATGACAGCCCTGGAGGACCACCACACCCACGGTGCATTCGTCCGCACACGAGTCCACCTCCTGCAGGAGATAAACCGTGGCTCCTGCTTCTTCTATGCCCTGGAAAAGTGGAGGGGGGCCAAAAAGTACATCGCTTGCCTCTTGGTGGCTGATGGCACCCCCCTCTTGGCCCCGGGAGAGCTGCAAGATCACGCGAGGGCCTTCTACGGAAGGCTCTTTTCCCGGGAGCCGATCGAGGCCGCAGCCTGCAGCGCGCTCTGGGAGGAACTGCCCAGGTGAGCGTAGGCGACCGTGACCGGCTGGAAGCTCCTCTCACCTTGGCCGAGCTCACACTCGCTCTCTGTCTCATGCCTGGCAACAAAGCGCCGGGGCTGGATGGGCGCACCATGGAGTTCTACCGGGCTTTCTGAGACGTGCTCGGCCCGGACTTTGCCATGGTCTGGGCCAAGGCCGAGGGTTGCAGGGAGCTCCCCCTGTCATGCAGGAGGGCGGTCTTGACTCTCCTGCCGGAGAAGGGGGACCTCCGCGACCTGAGGAACTGGTGTCCTGTGTCCCTCCTCTGTACAGACTATAAGGTGGTGGCGAAGGCCATCTCTCTGCGCCTGCGGTCCGTGCTGGAGGACGTGATCCATCCCGACCAGATGTACACAGTGCAAGGTCGCTCCATCTTCGACAACCTGTACCTGGTGCGGGACCTCCTGGAGCTGGCGCATCAGGAGGGCCTGTCGTTCGACCTGCTCTCCCTCGATCAGGAGAAGGGGTTCGACAGGATGGACCACGGGTATCTCACAGGTACGCTGCGGGCGTTTGGCTTTGGATCGCAATTTGTGTGGGCTCTCCAGGTGCTGTGCGCCTCCGCAAAGTGCCTGGTTAAGCTCAACTGCTTAAGCCTTCGATCTGGTGTCCCATGATCGCCTCTTGGAGAAACTGGCCAATTGTCGCCTTGGGTCCTCCGCGATCCACTGGCTGGAAAATTGGCTCCGGGGTCGGCCCCAGAGGGTAGTAATTGATGGAAGTCACTCATCGTGGTGTCCTGTGACCAGTGGGGTCCTCCAAGGCTCTGTCCTTGGACCCATACTGTTCAACATCTTCATTAATGATGTGGACACTGAAGTCAGAAGCGGACTGGCCAAGTTCGCCGATGACACCAAACTTTGGGGAAAAGCATCCACACCAGAAGACAGGCGGGTGATCCAGGCTGACCTGGACAGGCTCAGCAAGTGGGCGGACGAGAATCCGATGGTGTTCAACGCCGATAAATGCAAGGTTCTCCACCTTGGGAAAAAAAACCCGCAGCATCCTTATAGGCTCGGCAGTGCTATGTTGGCTAGCACTATGGAAGAAAGAGACTTGGGGGTCATCATTGACCACAAGATGAACATGAGCCTGCAGTGCGATGCGGCGGCTAGTAAAGCGACCAAAACGCTGGCTTGCATCCATAGATGCTTCTTAAGCAAATCCCGGGACGTCATTCTCCCCCTGTACTCGGCCTTAGTGAGGCCGCAGCTGGAGTACTGCGTCCAGTTTTGGGCTCCACAATTCAAAAAGGATGTGGAGAAGCTTGAGAGAGTCCAGA